ATAAATATTCCATTCTTTAATATTTATTTAAATTTTAAATAGTTTCAATGCATTCTTCCTATAGTCAAGCTTAATTTAATATGTGAAATATCAACATTTTAACTTTTAAACGAAAGTAATTATCAAGGCTGTAATGGAGTTTGTTCAGGTTTGTTTCCTTTTATAAAAATAAACAAACTTGAAACTTTTATTTTTATTTTATATTATTTTACTAAAATCTATAAATTAAGATTTTCAAGATATGCCATGATAACAATTCATTGGCTTTCTCTCTAACATATATAAAATAAAAGTAATAATAAAAAATCAATTTTGCTTGATTCCAAACAAACTTTTACAAAATTTACGCTAGAAGGTTTTTCTACATAAATGTAATAAGATCCATTAATACAGAATTCATATTTGCAAATAGCTAATTTGCAAAGTGTTTATTAGTTAGTTCTCATTAAGTGAGTACAGTTTATAAAACTGATTATAAAACGATGTAGCAAATATATTATTATTATTATTATAGCATGTACAAAACAGTTATCTATCTTACAATCAAAATTTCTATTTTTAAGCATAGGGTAAAGGAAATTCAATAATATAGGAAAGTTAGAAGTCTTGCAGTTTAATTTCCTATAAGCTTCAGTTGCAATTTTAATCTTCCATATCAATTACAGGATCTTTCATAAATGATATTGGTTGTACTTTTTAAAATTATATTTTACAGATATTCCATATCCGGTAAGGATTTATATCGTTGACTAAATAGTATAAGGAGGAAATTAAGAATTATACTACAAAAGTCAATAAGTTTTCGTTAAATTCGATATTTATAATCGCTTAAAACTATTGAAATACCTTGTAAAGCGAAAACTAACTTCATTAAGTAATTAACTGATAAAATTTTAAAGAAGCTAACAAATTCTGTAAATTAATTAAATATTTTAAAATTTATAACAATAAATTTACTCTTATTAAATCGTAAGAATACGAAAACTGTTATCAAAATTTCTATCAAACTAATAATTTTCAAGATGGAAAAATCTATAATTTATTTTATTTAACTAGAATTATTTGATCCCTTTCTAAACGACTTTGTTACGAAAACAGAATTAATAAAAGGTTTCTTTAAATTGAAAAGGAAAGCAGTTTCATGTTTCGAAATTATTAACGTTTTCTTCACTTTAGATTCTTCTCGGAATTATTATTAAATATTGATAAATCCCTTGTAATATTAATGACTTTTTAAAATAAGAATTATTCCAACATCTACAAAACTTTTTATTAAAAAAAATAAATAACTAAAAAAACCCATTTATTACATGTCAATTAAAGATCCTACTGTCATATATTTAAAAATACACTATATTATTCTTATTGTGCATTTAAATTGTTAACAGTAAGAACGTGACTTTATCTATAATTATTCATCAGAATTCTGGATTAATAAATTAACTTGAACATTAAGAAATGCGAGTTAACATATTACTTTTAAAGAAACAAAACAAGTCACTGGTAGTCATTGTTAATTGCACTACAGGATTAGATAATATCAAACTTTGAAAATTAAGCTTTTATTCCCTGTAAATTTATCAATTGAATTTATGATAATGAAGTTACCATCATTTCTGAACAAGATTTGAAAATGTATTTAAATGAATAAAGTTGCTTTTTTATAAGTTCCTTTCTATCTTTTATTTTAGTATTTAATTTAACATACAAGTTAATGATTCATTCAATTTCTTTCTTAATTAAAATGCAGTTTCTGTGTATCTAAATTACGTTAAAGTCTCCAGTTTGTTGATAATTTACTACTTTCTATTCCTGTTACTCCATTTTAAAAGAATCTGAATATTTTATAATTCTTTATCTATAAATATCAAAAAATGAAATAAAACTAAACTTGAAGATTAAGAAAAAAAAATCTTTTACTAAAAATAAGCTATTAAATTAGTTAATTAATTTAAATATTTGAAAGTTTGGTCGTCTATTATAATCTTTAATTTTCGTTACAATAAAATCAAAGGACTTATTAATAAAATTCGTGTTGACATTCTTTTAATATTCGAAAAAAAAGCTAAAATTAATAATATTAAAACTCGTGTCAAATTACATAAATCATTAATTCTGAATTTTTTTTAATACTTTAAATAATCTACATAATAAATTCTTTGATAAAATCAAACCTTTATAAAATAACATGATCAAATCATTGTTTAAATTAGAAAGAACTATTTCATCTCATGTTATCAGATCGGTTGATAAAATTAAATTCTAATCAATCTAATTAAATTCTAATCTGTTAAAGTCTTTGAACACGTATTACCTCTCATAGAAAGTATAAAATTTAAGATTAGAATTTCTCTATATTTTTAAAAGATATAAATTANAAAGATTGAAAACATTCGATTTGATTAATAGTTTTAGAAGATAATCACTTAAATTTAACTAAGGGAACAACAATGTTTCAATTTAGAGAATCGAAAGATTATCGCTTTTCAATGTCTCTTTTTAACTTCTTTTGGATTACATTGTTGGATAAGTAATTCAGTTGAATGCTTCAGAAACCAATTTCCAAGAATTGGAAAAAGTCGTTTGAAAACCAATCTGGAAACTGTTACCAATAAATTGGTATCTCGCTGAATTCGCTGAAACTAATATAACAATTGTTACGTTACGAATCAAAATCATTGGCAAATTGCTTATTTAAATATAAATAAATTTATAATCAAATAAATAATGGATAAAATATAGTATTTATATATATATATTTTTTTTTTAACTAAAAAATTTTAAATATAATCTTTTATTTCATACAAAAGGAGAGCAATTTAAAACGTTCTATTCTTTTAAAATTAACGATGCTAAGAATCCAATTAATATTGTAAAATGTACAAACAGTAGATGTATGTAGACGTATATGACGTATGAAGACGTAAGTTATGTCTTTACGATGTATGTGACAGGAAGAGGTATGCGTGAAATATTTTTGTATCGATTTAATTTAAATTTATTTTTANAAAAATAAGATTTAAAATTAAATTATTTGACAATAAACTATATATATAGGCTATATATATATATAGGCCAATATATATTAAACATTATCTTAAGGGTAGTAATTAAAATTTGGAATAACTGCAAATCATTATTCAATCATTTCAATAAACACATGAAGTAAAACGTCACAATTGACATGCAAATAATAAATTGTAGCTGTTCCAAACTAGTTTTAATAATTTTTAAAGTAATCATAAAAAAATATATTTCGGTTAATTGACTTTTGGTCCACCCTAAATATATCTTGAATATTTGAAGAATGTATTAGTTCCGAAAATATTTTCTTATAATACATTTTTAGAGAGAACGATAGAGAGAGATAGAAGTATAGAGATAAAGAGAGATTGTCTCTATCTCTACTTTTCTATCTCTCAAAGATAGAAAGATAGAGATAGATAGATAGAGACTCTTTCCGTTGTGAGATCATCAAGATCTCTAATAGAAGCTAAATCGAAAGGAGATTCTAATCTTTCAATAGGAAAAACTCGTATATATATATATATAACAAAATTTCAAAACTATAAATCATAATCAATATATCGAAAATGGCATATTTTATATTTAAAACTCAATAAATCAAATATCTCAAAGTTAAAATTAAACAATTTGATTTATAAAATCTCGGTTAATATAAATAAAATATTCTCATAAAAATGTTTTTTTCCCAAAATTTCCAGTTTTTTAAAGATCGAACACAACAACAAATCCGGAAAATTTTCCCCCCTTTTTTCTCCTTAAAGTGAAAATAACTTTATTGATTTTGTTGGGCACTTCTGTTTAGCAATTTATAGTGTATATATATAAATTTTTTAGTTTGAGAAATATCACAGTTTACTTGCAGAAATACAAGACATATAATAACGAATATATTCTTTTAAACCTTTAGTCAGAAATACGTTAAAATTTATACAAAATAAATAATTTTATATTTTACAGATTTAAATAAAAAATCGATATAAAATTGTTTGAAATATATGAATGAAAAAAGTTTAGTAAAGTTAGAATGTGAAGTTTTGATGATAATATTACAGAAGAAGTATTTGAAAAGTGAAAATATGTTTATGTGTTTATTGATTATAAAAGCGAAAACTAAAAGGAAAATTCTTGCTTGCCGTTAGGCATTATATAAATTTAAAAAACAAAAATTCCTATAGATCTATGTAAATCAGTTTCCACTATGATTTTCAATAAGAACTAAAGCCTGATATTACAATAAATGTGAATTTCAATATCTTCTTTAAACAACTAAAACATAGTTCAAAATAATAAAATCCTATTTAAAATGTATTAAAAACTTTAAATAGAACGGTTTACACAAATAAAAACAAGAAGAAAATTTAAAATATTTTAAATTATAATTATATTACAATATTAAAATTTTATTAATCTATTAACACGAACGTTAAATGAATTGAAATGATTGCAATTAAATATAAGAAAAAGTTCAAACTGTAGAAAAATTAATTTAATTTATTACAGTTTCGAAGTTCCGATCCTAATTTTATATCATAAATATATTTTTAATGATTCACGCTTCAAGAAGATCGTAATAATTAGTAGTTTAATTTATACACAAATAATAAATCTTTTAAAATATTTTCATATATTTATTAATAATAAAAAATTGCATCTTTAATTTTGATCGTATTAATTTCTTGGTGATTAATACGTTCGTTAATTTTTAAGGTAAAAATATTAAAATTACCTTTCGTAAAAATTAGGTTATACGAAAAGTACCAAAATGAAATTTTTTCATTATTTTGTGAAATTTGTTTAGACTTTAATTACACTGACGACTTTGTTACATATTTTTTCATATAGAAGCATTAACATCAATTTTATACTTTATTATTCCGATAATAATTTGAAATTATTATGAAAAATTCAAGAAATTACTTTAACCTAAACTTTACGTAACATAAATTATAAAAAAGTTAGTTATTTTTACTTACCTTTAAGACGAACTCTGTCTCCTAAAACTGAAAGAAATTCCTCAAACAATGGACTGTGATTTGTATTATCTAAAATCTGCTCTTCAGTGGATTGATTTTCTTTGACATAGACAACACCTACTTTAAGTTCGGACTTGATAAATACCTAAATAAAATAATAAATATTTTAAAATGCATATTTTATTTATTTATTTATCATTTGAGACTAACCTGATCTAATTTGAGCAATTCGTCCGGTGTAGAAGGTAGCTGTCCTAAAACCAATCGAGGTTTCAACGTAGCCTCATCAGCTAAAGACCTAACAACTGCCTCTCTATCATAGCGGTCTGCACAAATGTAGGAGGCTGGAACTAGACCATGCAATCTATAGCTGACAGTTCTTAACATTACCCTGTAAAAATCAGATATTTATTCAGTTACTTTTATATATTTAAAGAGAGTTCGTCATACAATAAGAGTATTAATTAGTTTAAACCAACTTTCTAAACACTATAAATGCACTAAGTTGTTCCATCATCATTATCAAATTCATAAATAAAATTTCTTTAAAGCATGAATGTTTATAATAATGAAAATAAAATAACAAGCTTATAAAGTATCGCAAGTGCACATAGAAATTATTCGAACAAATCAAAAATTTTTAACACTCTTCTAAAAAAAAAATAATATCAATTTATATAACACTTAGTCTAGATCAAATAGACACACATACAGTACATACGGGTTTATCACACTAGTGAACGAGATTAATATGTCCTTCTTCTGTTGGTGTATGAACACCAACTGAAGAAAAACGTATTGAGTCCGGAATGCATTTTGAGTGTTTTATATTATATACATGTTAAAAAGAGTCGTAATTTATTGAAGAGTATTATTTAATAAGGTGTTAAATAATAATTAAAGATTTTGTAAATTAATCTCGTTCACTGGTGTGATAAACCCGTATGTATATGTGTCTATTTGATCTAGACTAAATGTTAAACAATATTAAGGGCTAAAAACAATAGATTATTCCTTTGAATCAATTTATATTTTAATTTTCAATGTAAAACTAATAAGTAAAATTAAATCGAAAATATTATATATAATTTCTATTGAACATATTAAATTACCTTGCTCTTTAGAATTTTTATTAAATTATGACCAATTATCTATATCATTCTCGTCTCAATTACTTCGAATTGGCTCTCAATCCAACTTAAGATTCTTCCCATCACCGACTCATCACCAAAGCTCGAAATAATTACTTTCTCTTCATATTAAATTATTGATTGCTAAATTTTACATTTGTTAACAAATCGAAGAGTTCGATGAGAGCGTAAATTATATTATTACTACATAACAAATGTCATTAATCGACTCTAACAGCTTACAAAATCAATACATCATCAGGATTTAATAAGTAACATCTTGATCAAAATACATTGCACGTTTTTATTTGAATGAATTTAGTGTAGAAGTTTGTTGCAAAATGTAAGAAATAACATTTTATAAACTCTAGTAATATTAATACTATGATTTTTCATTCTTAATAAATATAAAATATAAAACACTACTGTAGTTTATACTATTTTTAAGAGAATTAATAAATATTTAATATATATAGCAAAACCTCTCCAGAGTGACTACCCCTTTATGCCAACCACTTCTTTAGATTTTCAGGTTTTCTTAAAATAGAATTTTTATTCCATAGGACTCATTGTTTTTAAAACGTCCTTAACCACCCACTCACTTCTTTACTTTACCAATAACCACCTGGACACATAATCCCTTCGTAAAAAATATCTTTCATGAGACACCAGTTTTATCATCCTGGATGGGATGATAAAAATCGAAACCATGATCATGTACAGTACATGTTCAATATAAAATAATGTACAAGATACACTGTTGAATTAGATGCAAAAAAAAAATCGTCTTGATCTTTTTATTCAACTTCGATGTCTCTATTTTCTCTTATTCGGTCCTAATGTGCAGAATATACATACTTTACTGTTAATATTCTGCTGGGATAGATAAAATTGTAATTGATGGCGATAAATCTGGGCGGTTTTTGAAATCCACTGGTCTAAAAGAGGAATCTGACCAAATAAAAAAGCAATATTGAAGGCATTACTTTATCAAAAAAGTTAAAACAGAGAAAGAAAATGTCTATTTAAGACTGTGTACATTACATTTTCTTGTATGTAATGTACAGTACAGTATGCAGAATTACATGTGATGTATTAGTAAATAAATTTTCTTGCAATATAATGTTAATTTAATCAACACGGCATTTTTAACAGTATGGCCTATGTAATCTTATAATAAAATATTACATATAATACTATGTATTACTGTTGGATACAGTATAGTCCTCTGTATCCATTATATTTTCGTCACCCATTTGACAAGACGTAAGTTTTGGGGTGGTCGTTTTAAAAAAGTTTTACTGTATCATTCATATTTAACTTTTATATCTACATATATCTATTATAAATATTTGTACAGTATTACATAATACACATAGATTAATCATAATACCTTAAAACTATTTTTAAATAATTTTTTTATTAACAAAATTTACAGTTATGTGTAACTAAAAGAACTGAAATTTTCCCATTTTTAGATTTCAATTAGTAAGCAGTAAATGTCATCTTTTTTCATTTATATCTATCTTGACATTTATATATTTAGAAGTCAGTTAAGTAGATAGATAAAGTTTTAAAATTTTTGATTTAAGATTTTCTTATGTGCAATTAGAGATAAAATATATTTTATCTACCGACTACATCATGCATAAATTATAAATTTAAGAAAATTGATGGATGATAAATTGTATGATAAACGAGTTCTTTTACTGAAATTCATTTATCAACTTGACTAAAAATTGTAATTTTTCAAATTTGACAGAATAAACGGATATTCTAATTTGTTTTACGAATTAAAGCATTTTAATTTCATTAGTATTAGATTTTTACTGACTATTCCTTAAGTTTATAATTCGTACACAAGAATGTTAGTCTATATACAGTTTGTGGCCCAAAAATCAATTAACATTTTAAATACAACATTGTTATATTCGTTTTTATTAATAGTAAAAATGTCATAAAACATTTTAATAATTTTTTAATATAAAAATGTATTGTTATAAAGTTTTAAATCAATAGAATCGAATTTAATAAAACTGTACTGTGTATACATGATATACGGTATTTACTCTATATACAGTTTTATATCAAATTCTTTAAAATTTGATTAATTAAATTCTTCGATAATCTTAGTTAACTAATTTTTGAGCTATTATGTATATTAAAACGATATTTATTAATTCTCTACATATATTTCCATTATAAAACATCCTTTCAACAGTTAAAAGAATGGTAAGTGGATACATTAAACTGATGTTAAGTTAATATGTTACATAATTTCGTAAAACAATTATTTCTTAAAAATAAACAATAACTTTTCTACTTTAATCTTGATTTTATAGGAAATTTTAATGCATAATAACTATTAGGTAAAATTACAAACTGTCATTAAAAAAAATAAGAGAAAGATGATTCTTACAACACTCTTTAGAAGGCAATTTCTATTTAAGATTTGTTAAATAGAAAAACATTTTAAGTACTTTATATTTATTTTAATTTCTTATATAATTTTTAATGTATTTTAAACGCTTTAAAATATAGTGTATATATATTTTTTTTTTAACTAAAAAATTTTAA